GTCTCTTCCTTCGCTCCTGTCACCCTTCGTCTCTTCCTTCGCTCCTGTCACCCTTCGTCTCTTCCTTCGCTCCTGTCACCCTTCGTTTCTTCCTTCGCTCCCGTCGTCCTTCGTTTCTTCCTTCGACCCCGTCTCCCTTCGTCTCTTCCTTCGCTCCCATCATCCTTCGTTTCTTCCTTCAATCCCGTCATCCTTCGTTTCTTCCTTCAATCCCGTTGTCCTTCGTTTCTTCCTTCCTTTCTGTTTTCTTTCCTTTCTTTCTTACTTAATTTCTTCCTTTCTTTCTTCCTTCGTCTCTTCCTTCGCTCCTGTTTTCCTTTGATTCTTCCTTTGCTCCTGTGTTTGTTCCTTCCTACCTTGCTTCCTTGGGTCCTGTCTTCCTTATGTATGTTCTTTCTTCCTACTCTGTATCCTTTCATCCTTGGGTCCTTACTTGCTTCCATTTTTCCATCCTTCCTTTCTTACATTCCTTAGAATTCAATTCAGCGATATAATATATACTTTTTGGGAGTAGTTTAACTCCACTGTTCTTTTTTGATAGTGTTGCTGCTCTGACTTTAGGGGAAGATTTCCCATCCGGTCCCTGAATGAAGCTCATTACAATCAAAAATGCACCAGAAACTTTACTTTGTTCTAACATACAGAACGTATCTACTGTAAGTGTTTGGGGGTATATAAGTAAAAACGATGGTATGAAATAGTGTTTCTTCTGAATGATATGTTCAATATTAATAGAATAATAATTTATGTTATTTATATTGTGTTTATTTTAGGTTTTTTTAAATACCAGAATGAATAGAACTATATTTTCTGTCTGTTAAATAAAAAGATTTTTAGATATTTAATCAAATGTTAGGATCAGTCACTCAGTACTTTAGAAATCTTTTTATGTAATGCTGGTTTTCTTTCTTTCTCTTTTTTTCTCTCTGTCCCTTCCTTCCTTCCTTCCTTCCTTGTTCATCCTTTACTGAGGCTTTCATTGGCGGCGGTGTGTTTGGGTGTGTGCAGGTGGTGATACTGGAGAGGCGTAACGCCGCCGGCAAAGCGTTTTTCAAGCCAGTGACGGCGTGGAACGGCAGTGAGGAAGACAAGCTGCGTCTCTTGGAGGAGCTGGAGCGACTCCAGAAGGACCCGTCCATCCTCATCCATGACGTCCTGCTACCTGAACTCAACAACGAGTTTGCCTCGGTGGGGAGGTCATTTTTGCAGCTGGTGTTACTTAAAGACAAACTGCTGCTTTGTTTCTCACCATTCTGGGTGTAACATCTCTTTAGATGTTTGTGGTCCGGTGGATCTCTGCATCCTACGATTACCTCTCTGAAATCATTGATGACATTCTTCATAACAACTGGTGGGCACCGCTTTTCATTTTGAAGCAAAAGTTTAGATTGATAGAAGTGTTCCAACTGTTTTTTCCTTTCAGGCGTGAGATGATGCCTCTCCTGTCCCTCATCTTCTCTGCTTTGTTCATCTTGTTTGGAACCGTAGTGATCCAGGCTTTCAGGTGGCTTCCCTTCACCTGCTCTGATCATTCATCTGGATTCTGATTAAAACACTGGAGAAACAAGCAAACGGCTTTATTTCTCTCATTGCAGTGACTCCAGTGAGGATAAGCAGATGAAACCAAAAGCAAAAGATGGAGCTAAAGCAGAAAATGGGTCATCAGAGACTAGCAGCGCCTCACGGCAAGAATACTACTCAGTCTACATGGGATTAAATAAAAGCTTTCTGCATTAATTTAAGCTTTGTTTCGCTTTGTTTTAGCAGACCTCCGAAAAAGACTTTTGTGGAGGTGACCGAGCTGACGGACATCACCTACATGAGCAACCTGGTGAAGCTGAGGCCTGGACACATCAACATAGTCCTGGTCCTCACTGACGCTTCCAAAAACATCCTTCTTAGCAAGTTTGCTAAAGAAGTGTATTCCTTTACGGGGTAAAGAGTCGCCACATTGGAAAAAAAAGTAAAACATTTCTTAAATTAAGTGTATTTACCCTTAATTTTAGTAGGTAAATGAGATGATTTGCCAATGGAATTAGTATTTTTACTATTAAAATAAGATATTTTGATAAAGCGCACTTGAAATATGACAATGCAATTTTCTTTTCTTATTTTAAATACAAATTGTCTTGTTCCATTGGCAAAATGTCTCTTTTACCTTCTCAATTCAAGAACAAACACACTTATTTTAAGAAAAAAAACATTTTTTACAGTGCAATCTCTACACCCTGTATGGGTTTCTAGACTACACCAACTTTCTGATATTTCCTGTGGTCTGCAGGAGTCACACACTTCACTTCTCCTTCCTGAACCTCGACAAGCACGGCGACTGGATGAGCGCCCTCCTGGAATACGCACCGGGCGCGGCGCAGGTGGACGACGACGAAGGCGGGAGCCGTAAAGTGGACTACACCGGCTTCGTGCTGGCACTGAACGGCCACAAAAAGTACCTGTGTCTCTTCAAGCCCGTCTACACCGGAGAGGACCTCGAAGGCAAGTCGTCCGAGGACGAAGCGGCGCCGTCAGCAGGCAGATCGAGGCCCGGTCATCCTCCAAGGAAATCCGGGCGCTCTCGCAGCACGTCCACTCTACAGATCCACCACAAGCTGGACCGGCTGGGGCTGTGGATGGAAAGACTCATGGAGGGGACCTTGCCTCGTTTCTACGTCCCGGCATGGCCAGGGGTCGATAAGATCACACCAAGTAAATAGATGATGGAGGAAACTCATTAGGCCCCGTTTTATATCAAAGACCTTAAATAAGTGCAGATTTTTGTGGAATAGGATGTTCCCCTTCAGAAACAAACCATTCCATCCAGTAAACTTTATTTGAAACAAATACTATCTATTAGTATTACATTTGAGTAAGTATACTTTATTATCTCTAAATACATAAACCTGATAATTAAGTATCTTAAATAAATAAGCTTTATTATACAAATGAGTATGGATCATGTAAGTTTTTTTTACATTTGTGTTAAAATTATCTAAAAAAAAAAAAAAGCACATGTTTGAATCTGTTTGGCATTGCTTGCTGCATTAATGTTTTTTTTAAAGATTGTTTAAATATATATATTTTTATTCTGTGCAACAATATATACTGTGTTAGTTTGAAGTTGCATTAAAATACATTCAGTTTGTCTGCTGTAAATCAACGCATTTTATGTTTATTAATAAACGCAAGAATTGTGAATTAATTTTGACTTTCGTATTTATTCACGAAATTTGAAAGAACTAAAACACACCCTGTGTAAAATATATAAAGGGACAATCCTGGTTTTAGGTGGGTTATGTGGAACAAGAGCGTCAAAAATATGCTGCTCTTATAATGCTAGTAAGAAAGCATGGAAATTTGTTCTACAAACCATATTTAATGTAAATTAAATACAAAGCAATCAGCAGACATTAGAAATATTTACTAATGTTTTTCTACATAAATATGGGGGAGTGCTGGCCTAGGGGTTATA